GACTCTAAATTTCTGTTGAAGAAACGGTCTTCTGGATCTCTCTGAGGGCATTCAGATTACTGCTTCTCTCAGGGGTCTTTGTTAATTAGGGAGCAAGGTAGTTAAGATTTCATCTTGCAAAAGCAATCAGTCTGCTCTGAGTTTCATTGGCTTCAAGAAGGCTGCATACAAGTTGAATCCCTTTGCAAAATGTCAGGCCTTGAGTTTTATTTGATGTTTTGTTATAAGCATGATTTTGATCCCTCCCTCAACATTTAAAAAAGCCAAGAAGCCGCCATCCCTTCTGCATGTTTTCTAACAACGTAAGAAAAATGTGGCAGAATTTTTAATTTTAATTGGAGATGAGCTTTGTTGATAAAACTTTTTTGGGGGGATTTTGAAATTTTGTTTGATCTTTTCAGTTTTTAAATATTCAATTGTACCTGAAGTAACACTGGAAAATGGCTCATTCTGGAATTTCTCAGGTCTGAAGATGACACAATGAGAAATAAAAAAAAATAACGCACTGGAGTGTTCTTTTTTAGTTAGGCTGGGTAGCTAATTTTAGAGCTGTTCACTAATGAGCTTTGAAAACTGTCAGGTCCCAGCAGGGTTTATATACCGTGACCATTAACCCTTCAGACCCTCCCTGTGCTAACGTATGCTTCATTTAGAAAATATCAGTCAATTGCTAGTGTTCTGAAAATTTGTCAGCATTTGCTTTTCACCCTGAAAATCAGATTGTTCCCAGTCTTGCTGCAGTGAATTTCCAGAGCTCTTATCTCAAATTCCTGCTCTAGCCAGCCAGCACCTCCTCTCACTCCCATTTTCTACCAGAAGAGAAAAGGTGGTGATGGAATCTTCACCAACCTCAGATATCCTTGTCCTCTTGACTCACTGGCTCCTCTTGGCTGGCCCCTGAGCTGCTCCTGTGCCATTCCCCAGAGAGATGGAATGGATGCTGTTGCAATTCTCTTAATACCAGGTTTTTCACGCACCTGGCAGAGGAGGGAGAGTAGCTGAGGCAGGATGTTGGTTCCCCACCCCACTATATCCTACTAGGTGGTCACAAGATGATATCAATGATTTGGCCCTAGTGGGGTCTTTCAAAAAGGGAAGTTATGAGTCTAAAGGAAAAAGATAGGAAATAGCAATCTTTGAGCCCTGTGCAAAGTACCGTAAGTTTCCTGTAAGAGTGAAGATTGGGCATTGGTTAGAGGGGCAGAGTGAATTTTATTTATTAAATCTGAGTACTGAATCTCCTGGCCCTCTCTTACTTTGGTTAGAACCATTTCTACTAATGTTTTAATAAATACGATCTTACAAATGTGACGGTCTCTTAACAAATTGTTTTATTTTATTTTATCGGGAGGAATTGGCTCTTTGAGAACTAAGCTCAGCCTGATGTGATTAACCAGGTACTCTGAGTCTGGCTTCCTTCTCTTCTGCCTTTCATTTGTCTCATCTATGCTTCATAATACACTTATTTCCTGAACATTATAAAGATGTATTTAAAATGAACATTTGCAATTCAGTTTAAATCAACTTCTGCTGAAATCATCTATTAAATGGATAAGGTAAAGTTTAGGACCTTGAACATCTGTTTTTAACTAGGCTATGAAATGCTGAGAGTGAAACTTCAGGAAATTAAAATATAAACGTCCCTGCCTCTTTCCTGAAGGGGCAGGAGCTGGGAACGGGCCTGTCTGTTTGCTTATGCCATTATGTTAGGTTAACCCTTTGGATGTCCAAAGACATCCCCTATTCTTTTATTGCTTGGCCATAAGCTGTCATGTAGAACTATTCAGTATATAAATGCATTGCCTTGGAATCTCAGAGTCAGTAGATGGGTGGTTAACTCTTCTATAAAGATGTGTGCTGGAATGAGGAGAGCTGATCAGCTGCAATCTCCCCTGTTTGAACTATGTCAGCAAACCACACCTGATTGCTATCCCAGATGTGCCTCTTGACGTCTCTTAAAACTCCAAGAGTGACCATGAATCAGTTGCCTTTTTTCTTCTCAAGAGCAAACACCTGCATGTCTGAAATGTGGAAATGCCTTTCTTTCCCTTGGGAATAGTGATGACTCTTGCCAGCAATTACAGACTTTAGACTAGCATCCACTGAAAAGCAAAGCTCTTTCCTTTGAAACTCCTCGAAAGAGCAGTTTGTAGAGCACTGTGTCCCACTGTCTTTAGTATTATTAGACTCCACAGTCAGGTACTTGTTAGGATACTCAAGTTCTATAGCATTCCTGAATTTAACCAATCCTAGTTTAGGCATACCCTATATTCATATATGCATTGTGTGTACATATATTTCCTGCTGGCTTGGTGATTGGCTTTTCATACATAACTGAGATACATTACACTTAACATTGCTACCTGTAATGCATTGATTTTATCATAGCTTGCTTATGTGTGTTTGGAATGGTGGGGGTTCTGACAGGAAGGGGACAATGCTATACACTCAACTGTTATATGGATTGCATTTTTTCAGTTAGCTCTATTTTGCAGAACAACTACAAAAATGTAATCCTCAAAACTATATTTGCAAGGAAAACTGGCTTTCCTAATCAGCTGCGGAGAGGCAACAGTGAAGCTCAGACCATAAATATAGGTATTGACTATCTGAAAAAGAAATTCCAGCCACTAAACTTAGTGCATGAATGCAACAGAGAACAGTCATTGATAGATTTAAGACCAGAAGGCACCATTAGATCATCTAGTCTGACCTGCTGCGTAACACAGGCATTAGAACTTCATCCAGTTTACTCCTGTAAAATTTGCAACAAGTCTGGTATTCATATAATAATGCAGATTCTGGCAAAGCTTTTTATAATGTTCACTAATTAAATCCTATACGACTTCCCCTCTCTCCCAAGGGCTTTTATACTTGACCTATTATTCGCTCACAATCTTTAAACAAAGAATTTAAAGCCATACGTGTTATGTCCTTAAGTCTGTCCTACTGAAGTTACCCACTGAACATGAGTTGCCCTATTCCAGGGGTCGGCAATGTTTGGCACGCGGCTAGCCAGGGTAAGCACCCTGGCGGGCCGGGCCAGTTTATTTACCTGCTGACGCGGCAGGTTCGGCCGATCGCGGCCCCCACTGGCCGCGGTTCGCCGTCCCGGGCCAATGGGGGCGGTGAGAAGCCGCGGCCAGCACATCCCTCGCCCGCGCCGCTTCTCGCCGCCCCCATTGGCCCGGGACGGCGAACCGCGGCCAGTGGGGGCCGCGATCGGCCGAACCTGCCGCGTCAGCAGGTAAATAAACTGGCCCAGCCCGCCAGGGTACTTACCCTGGCGAGCCGCGTGCCAAACGTTGCCGACCCCTGCCCTATTCAATTGAGGGATTCTATCAGAGTTTTTAATTGCTAAATAATTAGGACTTAAAGGCCAAACTTCTAGGAAAGGGCTTTATTTGGAGAGTTATAAAAGTTAAGCTCAGCCTGCTGAGCAGTGGTTAGGGTGGAGGGTAAAATTATTGCAACTAAAAGGACATTTTTATTCCTTAACTTAAGTTTTACCTGTTGTGCAACACGTTTTGTGTCTACAGGGAAAGTTTTTGCCATGTTGGTTTACAGGAATTTTCCTAATAGTGTTGACTTTCACAAATAAACATTAGTGGAAATAACTTTTAATAATTCCAAAGAAATCTTTCAGGTTCTGTTTTTGCTCCGCTCCACCCACTAGTTCTGTTTCCCAGTTGTGCACATACTTAGTTCTAACATGTTAGTCATGCTAAAAGTACAGGTTTGTACATAGTGAGTAGAGCTGGCTGAAAAATGGGGGTTGCCGTACCAACTCTAACGAGACTAATCAATTAAGGTGGGCTATTATCAGCAGGACAAAAAAAACTTTTGTAGTGATAATCAGGATGGCCCATTTCAAACAGTTGACAAGAAGGTGTGAGTAACAGTAGGGGAAAAATTAGCATGGCCATGTACATTGGCCAAACCGGACAGTCTCTATGCAAAAGAATAAATGGACACAAATCAGACGTCAAGAATTATAACATTCAAAAACCAGTCGGAGAACACTTCAACCTCCCTGGTCACTCAATTACAGACCTAAAAGTCACAGTTCTCCAACAAAAAAACTTCAAAAACAGACTCCAATGAGAAACTGCGGAACTGGAATTAATTTGCAAACTGGACACCGTTAAATTAGGCTTGAATAAAGACTGGGAGTGGATGGGTCATTACACAAAGTAAAAACTATTTCCCCATGCTAATTTTTCCCCTACTGTTACTCACACCTTCTTGTCAACTGTTTGAAATGGGCCATCCTGATTATCACTACAAAAGTTTTTTTTGTCCTGCTGATAATAGCCCACCTTAATTGATTAGTCTCGTTAGAGTTGGTATGGCAACACTCATTTTTTCATGTTCTCTGTGTGTGTATATATATCTTCCTGCTGTATTTTCCACTGCATGCATCTGAGGAAGTGGGTTTTAGCCCATGAAAGCTTATGCCCAAATAAATTTGTTAGTCTCTAAGGCCTGGTCTACCCTGGGTGGGGGGATCAATATAAGTTATGCAATTTCAGCTACGTCAATAACATAGCTGAAGTTGATGTACTTAGATTGACTTATCGTGGTGTCTTCACTGCGGTGAGTCGACTGCTGCTGCTCCCCCGTCGACTCTGCCTGCGCCTCTCGCGGAGCTGGAGTACAGGAGTCAACAGGAGAACGCTCAGGGATCTATTTATCACGTCTAGACTAGACACGACAAATCGAACCCTGCTGGATCGATCACTGCCCGCCGATCCAGCCAGTAGTGAAGACATACCCTAAAATGCCACAAGGACTCCTCGTTCTTTTTGCTGATACAGACTAACACAGCTACCACTCTGAAACAATTGTAATGTCATCTTGGATATGAATTTAAATACATTGTCTGCAGAATTATTCATGTTTCCTTTTTTCAGAATGTGCCTTACTTGTAGAGGCAAGTTTGCAGTCACTGGAATGCTGCTTTCAGTTCTGATGTCTGTTTTCTCTTCTTTTTTTTTCAGTCCACAGTCATGAGTGAACCCCAGTGCTACTACAATGAAAACATTGCCTTCTTTTATAACCGGAGTGGAAAATACTTAGCCACTGAATGGAACACTGTCAGCAAGCTTGTGATGGGACTGGGTATTACCGTCTGTATCTTCATAATGCTAGCCAATCTCTTAGTTATGGTGGCTATTTATGTCAACCGCCGCTTCCACTTTCCTATTTATTACTTAATGGCGAACTTAGCTGCTGCAGACTTCTTTGCAGGGCTGGCCTACTTTTACCTAATGTTCAACACGGGACCCAACACTAGAAGATTGACTGTAAGCACCTGGCTTCTTCGCCAGGGTCTCATTGACACTAGCCTGACGGCCTCTGTAGCCAATTTGCTGGCCATTGCTATTGAGAGGCATATTACGGTCTTCCGAATGCAGCTGCATACTCGGATGAGCAACCGACGAGTAGTGGTAGTAATTGTTGTCATCTGGACGATGGCCATTGTGATGGGTGCTATACCAAGTGTCGGCTGGAACTGTATCTGTGATATCACTCACTGCTCCAATATGGCGCCACTCTATAGTGACTCTTACTTGGTTTTCTGGGCTGTTTTCAACCTGGTCACTTTTTTGGTTATGGTGGTCCTATATGCTCATATCTTTGGGTATGTCCGCCAAAGGACTATGAGAATGTCCAGACACAGTTCTGGGCCCCGCAGAAATCGGGACACCATGATGAGTCTCCTGAAGACCGTGGTCATTGTGCTTGGTGAGTATCTACTTCAGCAAAAATGTTCTTCTCTGTTTCCCGTAGCGTAAGTTAATAAAACATTTCATTAGTGCTAGAGGAGAACTGGAACATGCATGCCCAACATTCCCATTGGCACATCATAAATTTGTGGGGGATGGGAAAGGGAGTGAGGAGCGAGCGAACACCAAGTGTTCATATCACTCTTGGAATTATCATATTTATGGCAGTGATCTCTAAACCTCAATCATTCTATAATTCAACATCTGTCCTGGTAATATAATTTTTTTAAGGGGAACACTTCAGGGAGTGATGGAAAACAGGACGTGGATTATAATGCTGATATACACAAGGCAAAAACAGCCCCTTCCCCAGGAGCAGCTTCACTTACATTTCCTGGTCCATTATAAACCTCCCCAATGCAGACATACCCTCTTTCATAGAAACGTTATCCCCTGCATGTCTTCCTGGTGCTAGGCCTGTGTATTTGGCAGAGCTAAGCAGCTGCAGCACAGAAGTGGCACAGAGATAGCTGCTACTTGCTGCATGCTTTTCATCTCCTAGGTAAGTACCCGCTGTGTTTTCCATTTCTTGTTGCTCAAGAAATGGCACGTTCTCACAGGTATCTGTTGCCATATTTGGAGATAGTCCAGGTAACAAATGCTTGACTTGCTTATGTGACACAAAACCATTCCCTCTGTTCAGTGACAGATGTTGTCAAAAACTATTAAATCTCACTAAGTGAAGTGAAAATATGTCTAGCTAGGTTCAGATCTCTGTTATATAATGTTCAAATGCATGGACATCTTTGTTATATATTAGTTACATTAACATGAATTGATGGAAGTTTATATTTAACTGCCTGCTGATTAATCTTGGAGCAAGAGGCAAGAATCTGTGCTTTAGTTTCATGAATACAAGCAGGTAAGTGTTGGTGTGCTCACTTATCTAACACTTGGGTAGAGGAGCAAATGTCTCTGTGCCATAGCAAGAACAAGCTGGAAATTTACTAACAATCCATGTTACTGTATTCTCTGTTTACTTGCATCATTATCATGTTTTGCTTTTCTCTCTAAGGTAGAAAAATTATTTTGAGTTGGGAAGGATAAAATAGGTAAACTTTCCCTTGATTCATGGACTGCTCTACTGCACTCAATGCTGTTTTTAAACCCAACCTGTTCTACCTCCCTTTCACCAAATTCAGGCAGGCAGATGAGGTTCAGAAGAAAGCTTCAGCTCTGAGCATATCTTCCGAAAGCAAATCTATATTTTCCCTTTTGGATGAACTGCCACTCTTTCCAACTGCGTAGCAGTAAAGCACTTCCTGTCATATAACTGGCTGGTTAAATCTCGTAAACCAGACAAATAGTAAGCATTTTTAGCAGTGCTTTGAAAGAGTAAAAAATACTGAGTAAATCTAATTTGGTAGTTAATGCCAATACAGCTGTGCCACTTGTGTGCCTGCAGTACGCCGACAGGAGAGAGCTCTCCCGTTGGCATAATAAAAGCAGGCCCAACAAGCGGTGGTAGCTATGTCGGTGGCAGATGCTCATGTGAGTGCTTATGCCAGCAAAACTTGTGTTGCTCAGGGGAGTGGTTTTTTTCACACCTCTGAGCAACAAAAGTTTTGCCAACATAAGTGCTAGTGTAGACCTGGCTGTAGTCCCATAAAACACTTCTTGAGCAGTCTTATAAATAAAATTGCTTTCCTTAAAAAACAATAATGAATGCAGTTCTCAGGTTACCAGCACTTTACTATGTTTGTTTTACTGTATGGCCAACTCTTTTATGAAATGTGTATCCTGTGTGTCACAGGATATTAAGTATAGGACTTGAAGTAGCCTTTTCAAAAGAGATTAGATGCTTACATGAAAAATAGAAGCTGTAGTTACACTCGCTAGGACAATCTACGAGGGCTGTGAATCCTCATGAGCCAGGGTATTGGGCTGACTGCTAGCTGGGGTCAGGAAGGAACTCATTGTACCACTCTACTGGGTGTATTATTGCCATTAGCTGTATGTATGGGGGGCTTCTTCTGGAGTATCTGACATTGGTCACTGTGGGGACCAAGGGACTGAAGTAGGTAGACGACCAGTGTGTTCCAGTAATTATCCTTATCTGTAGAAGCCAATTAAAAGTCAACATTCAGCAACCATAGCCACACAATTATTATAGCTATCGCCTTTGTGGCTGTGTTTTGCAAATGCTGATTTCATAGCGATGACCACTGTAAGGATTACTGAAAAAAGTAAAAATTAATATTTGAGGCCAACGTATTCAAACTTGCGTCTCTAAAGTTAACCATCCAGGCCCCAGTTCAGCAAAGGACTTAAGCATGTGCTTAAATCCCATTGGGTCTTAAGCACATATTTAAATGCTTTACTGAATGAGGGACTTGAAGAGGTTGCATGAATTTCATAGACGTTGACGACCTGTACAGTCACCGATGCTGAGCACTTCTGAAAATCAGCGCACTTGCCTACGTATCAAACATGGACTTAGCTTTCCCACTTTGGCCTCCAGATGCATTTGGACTCTGGCCTTCAGGTTTACTTTCCTCTAATTCTCAGATTAGTTATTCCTCAGTATTAAGGGCAACAGTTTGTTGGCATGGATTAATGGTGATCCATCAGCCAGTGAGTGATGCCTTTCATGCAGCCAGTGCACAACAAATAGAGGTGGAAGTTTCTAGCTGGGCTTTCCAATGAGACTCTCAAAGCATAGCTTTCTATAACCGCACTATATTATTCGCCAGTATGGATCTCGGTAAGAAATCAGACTGCCGAATGGGGGGCGGGAAGAGAAAGGGGGTAACATAATCTTTACTTCTAGAGGCCTGCTTTTAGGTCTGGTTGCAAATGTTCATGGTGAGCGAAATGAGCTTGATTTCAGTTGTAGCAGCTTCTAAATGTCTTTCTGTATAGCAAACCTACCGCACAAGAACACTGCAGGGAAACTGTGCTGGGATTGGTTTTCCCAGCCTTGGGATAACATATATTTTCAGACCCGTGTGGAAAAGCTCATGGAATGTTTATCTCTATGCTACTTGGCTCTTTCCAAATCAGCTTTCTCTTTCTGCCTCAATACATTACACAGAAGAGGAGAACTTGGGCTTTCTTGGTGGTCTAGCTGTTAATGCAATGTAGTGCATTAAAGTCTGAGGCAAAGCTCTGCCCCTCTACAGAGAGAGGGGAAAGGAAGTGCCTTCGTTTTATTCTCAAAAGATCTTCTCCCCTGAAATTCCCTGCAGCTGACTCAGTTGGTGCGTGCTAGCCCTCTTGAACTGGAAGATTGGGTTTGCTCAGCACAGAGCTGCTTTGGAGCAATGGGGGGAGGGTAAGGTGAGGATCAGAATGAAAAATGAAAAATGCAGGGAAGGGACTCTAGAGGAATCCTCAAATATAAATCAACGAACACTGGAAAGAGATGTAATGTTGATCTTTTTGTGGTCCTCTGAATCCATAAATAACCACCCTGTAAGTCAGTCAACAAGGGATTCTTTCACTTGATTTCTAAACTTACATAAACTGGTCTTTCTGAAGTTAGCCAATGAGCGTACAATTTTTTTCATCCGTCCTTACTGCAGTTTCAAGGGGAGGCAGATAAACAAAAGAACTTCTTGTTTATCAGCCCCAGTAAATGCCTACCACTGTCTTCCATCCCCACATCTCATTGCCTTGCTCCAAGAGGACAGCCACCCACAAGAAAAAAAAAATCCTCTTCTGATGGCTATGCTGTCAGCATGTGTGAGGTGCAATCCAATTGAGTTGCATAAGAGGACTCATTGTTTTCCCAATGACTAAGAGGGCTTGAAGCTCTGGCTGGAGCGGTCGGGAGCTGGCACACTGCGTCATCCCACAGAGCTGCTAGGATGTTGAATCCTGGGACTGAGTCAAAGCAGAAAACAGATTTTTTTTTGCTTTTTTTGTTTTTCATGCCCTTTTGTGTTTTTTCCTTGAGTAAAATATTTTAAACAGAAGGAAGTGATTTCATAGTTGAGTCCTTTCTTTTAACAAGGCTCCTTTTGAAATCTGTAATTTAACAAGAATATAAAGCTCTTTCTCCATAAGATGCCTTTTTGCTTTGGGGCTTATGCAGAATTGATTCATATAACAAACACAGACGTAAAATTGGGTCTCGGTTAGGCTGAGACTCAAATCATACCGAAAGCATTTCATAATTGCAGTGTGTTATTAAAGTAGAAAAGGGAATTTGCAGAAAGAATCTAACTGATATAACAAGCTTAAAACATGCATCTTTTCCTTTTTATTGCTCATCTTCGAACACTCTTTTAGGACGAAGTTAAACCAGTTTTCCTATTGGGTTTGAATCTTCTTCACTAGCCAAATGCAGGGCTGGAAACATTCACTGCTATATGAGAAAGACAGGTATTAAAGCTCTGAGCCAGGAATCCAGAGATCTAAGTTCAATTCCTAGCATGATCTTAGACTACTTGTGTGACTTTGGAAAAATTACTTACGGCCAGATTTTTTAAATGCTATTTAGGTGTCTAAGTATACAGATAGGTTGCGAGTGGAATTCCTAAAAGCACTAAGGATATATCTGCATATTTAGATGGATAAAGACATTTAAAAAACTGGCCCTTAATCTCTGTTTCTCAGTTTCCTATCTGTAACATGGGGATACACACAGGGTGAGCAAAAAAGTGTCTTATCTATTTAAAAAGTTAGCTGTTCATGGCAGGGACTCTCTCTCCATAGTCTCTATGGCAGGGACTCTCTCTCCATAGTCTCTATGGCAGGGGTTCTCAAACTTCATTTCAACACAACCCCCTTCTGACAACAAAAATTACTACATGACCCCAGGAGGGGGGACCAAAGCCTGAGCCCGCCTGAGCCCTGTTGTCCAGGATTGGCGGGGAGGGGGGGAAAGCTGAAGCCCAAGCCTTGCCACCCCAGGCCACGGAAGGGGGGAAGCGAAGTCGAAGCCCAAGGGCTTCAGCCCCAGGCAGAGGGCCTGTAACCTGATCCCCGCTGCCCAGGGCCGAAGCCCTTGCACTT